TCCAACGACAAATGCCGAACCCCGAAATAAATATCGATGGCCAGGGCCAACAGACAGAGTGGGTAATCTAATTCGCGAGCAGCTTCCACCAAGTCCTGAAGACAGACTTGGTCATAATATTTCTTCATATCAAGCAAAAAGCCCCCGACCTGGAAAGCGCTGTGGAGGGCAAGTTCCGTTTCAAGCTCGTCAAGCCAACCGGCAACATCAGCCGAGCCCCCGACGGTCTGGTCCCAGGGCCCATGCGCCTCACGGTCCCAAGCCGTGATGAAAGGCTTCCTGATGCGCAAGAGAAGCGCGTAAACAAAGCCAAGCAGCGCAATGGGCCTTTTTCCCCCGTCAGGCTTCGGAATGAGGGCAATCAGGGCAAAGAGCTGATGGAAAGGCAAAGTGCACTGCTCCTCAATGGACTCAAGAAGCTGTATGAGGTGGATATTGGCCTCATCACTAGCCTCCTTAATTAAGCGCGGCTCGATCAAATCCAAACCCTGACCCCTGGAGTCAGGCATCGACTTGAGCGCGCGATTAAGGGCGTCCAGGTCGATGGGTGGCAGACGCGGGGACGACCGAGCACTCTTACGCAGGGCAGCTAACGCAGCGCGCGCTTCGTCCTTATCGTGCTGTTGCCAGATGGCCGTCCAAGCTGCCGCTTCAAAATCTAAGAGCTGATCCAAGGCAGAGCAGGGTCCTTCCTCACCGATCTTTTCGGCCGCCAGAGGGTCCAGGGGAGGCTTTAACAACCGATGAGCCGGCCCCGCAGACCTGAAAAGCGCACCCTGGAGCCAGGCCTTCCACGAGGCCTTCTGAGCCTGCAGAGCGTCGCGATGGGATGTTTCAGACACCTGCTGGAGCTCAGCTAGCAAGTCATGCAGCCCGTCAAAAGGCGTGTCTGAAATATGTTGAAAACGATTCTTGCACAAGTTAAAGGTGCCACACTGACCAGCATCGGAAGGGTCAGACGGGGAGGGGGGCACTGGCTGAGAAAGCCAAGCCACAGTGGCACGAAACTGAGCTGCATGCTTACGGTCAGGCTGCGGCGGGATATCCTCGATGGAGTCCTGTGGGGCAAGCTTGAGCAGCAGCTTGAGCTTGACAAAAGCAGCTTGCCAGAATCGGACGTCGCGATCAGCCTGGCAAGGCCCCTCAACCTGGGCGGCCGCGAGGGGCACCAAGCGCAGCCTGGGCTCCTGGCAGCGACCAATATACTGGAACACCTGGTCCTGGGCTAAGCCAAGCTTCGAGAAGGCCTCAAGCTCCAGAGCAACAATCCAGGTAGACAGCTGGGCCCCTCAGTCGAGGGAGACCTGGGTGTTGTCATGCTCGAGCTTGAGGAGACTGGCAGCAGCATTGCTGGCCTTGAAGAAGCCTGGCCGCTTACGTTGCAGCAGCTGAGCCTGCGCCAGGAAGTGCGGCCAGGCTTCAACAGGGGCAGCAACGCCTTTGACAGGAAGGGGCTTAGGTCGCATGGCCTTCCAAACCATGATGGCCCTGGGAGAAGCCGAGACCTGAAACTCCAAAGCGGCGTGGGTGCCCCAAGGCACTGGAACAAGCGACCTAAACTGGGCGGCGCTAGAGAAACTAGCAGAGACTAACGCGTAATCGATCCGACTGGTGGAGACCCCTGAGCACGTAACCGAAGCACCAGGCATAGGAACAGGGACAAGGCCGAGAGGCTCTAGCCAACCTGACTCCTCGAGAACACTCGGGTCAACCTGCCAGTCGCCCACCACAAAGGCGGGAACACCTGCCGCGCTCAGATGGGCGCCGAGGTCCGCCAGCAGCTCGAGGTTCTGACCGTTGAGCTCGCCCCCCGTGACCAGGTAGACTGGGGCGATGGTCAGGGAAACCTTCCGCAGCCTCAGAGTGCACAATAACCACCGAGCCGTGCCAGCAGTAGTTCATTCACCCGCCTCACATGTCAATTGCGAAAGCCCAAGACGAGAGCGAGCAGCAACAAGAACACCTGACGATGCATCATCCGCAAGCGTGGGCTCAGCGGCCTGCGCCACAACCTTCCAGCCCAGCTTGTGTAGCTTCTTGGCCATCGCCTGGTACTTGGAGCCGCGCATCCTGTGCTCGACAAAAATGATGATATCAGCCGAACATCCTGCAACCCACCTGCAAGCAGTGGGGCCCCACACACTGATGTTGGAGTAGACAATGGACAAAGAGCGCTGAGAGGCGGAGTCGCTGTCAGGGTCAGGCCTAGGCCCCTGACTCTCATCGTCCTGCGAATCTAGCAAAACGGGCTCGCCGCCTGATCCACGAGGGTCACCGCGGGGCGATTGCTCCAACCCCGTGGGCCGCAGGGAGGGGGTCGACGGCCCTGCGACGAACGAACCTGGCGAACCAAGATTTCCAGCAGCACAGACAGGAGATCCACCAGTAGCGACGATAGCCTCAGGGTCTGAGGCGCGACGGTTGGGAGGAGAGTCTAATTCACGTTCAGCAAAGACCACGGAGCGGGCGTGACGCCGAAGTTGCTCTTCCGATTCGTCATGGTCTGTTTGCGAAAGCCGAATCATGTTGGCATGGTAGCGAGCCCTCGCGCTCCTCCTGGACCTCCAGGCCGAGAGACAAATGTCCTGAGCCATGCCGCGCCTCACGATAGCCAAATTCTCAATGCCAGTCCGAGCCGACTGCTCCATAACGAGGACCAGGAAGACGTCCTGGGCTAGCATGTCAGAAACGTAAGTGACACATAAGCGCAGCCAGTGAGCTTGGTTGCCAGGCTCATTCAACAGACTCGGATCCTGGAGCCAGAAGTTTGTGTAAGACCGAAGCCGACGCTCAAGACTAAGTCGCTGAAGAATGGCAGCACGCCGTTCAGGATCCTGATCCTTGCAAGTGAGGACAGAGTTCGCGGTGTGCCCTGCAGCGGGCTCCCGCAGGACCACGCACCCTTGGGAGTGAGGGGCCGTCCCCTCTCCAGCGGCGCCTCCCACATCACGCGCCTTCTGGAGCCGGCGAGACAGCCTGCCTGCCCTTGAAGCCGAAGAGCACGAGGCCGAGGTCGACGCATAATCCGAAGCAGTAGATGCCGCAACCGAAGAAGTGGCCGTACAGCGCGCACATGTGGCGTCGTCTGCCGAGCCTCCAGCAAGACGCGCGCCGCGGGATCCCGCGCTGAGGTCTTGGCCGAGCCAACCTGCAGCAGGTGCCGTCCGCGGGGTCATTGCCTTCGCAGGCACGGTGAGTGAGCGCCCATCGTACGAGGTCAAAGGAGACGAAGATGCACCAGAAGAGGTCGCCATAAGCGGGGAAGAAGAAGAGGTGCCGCCTGCCGTCGAAGTGGACGGTATCGAGGAAAGCGAACATGAAGAGGCCGATCTTGAGAGCGCACCGACAGATGAGCTGCAGGTAGAACAGCTATCACACTCTTGACCACCATCATCAGAGCTAGGAGCCAGGCTCGCGAGCCTCAACCTTGGCTCGAGCTGCGGCCGCCTTGGCTCGTGCGAGAGTGTCAGAGCGCGCCTTCTCAATCCGCTTCTCTTTGTCGGTCGACTCGGCAGGGGCCTCAGCAACCATGGGCTCAGCCTTCGGCGCATCAGCCGCAGGCGCCTGAGAGGAAGCAGCACCCTGGCTGCCCGCACCTTGAGAAGCCGCCACCCCTGTCGCAACCGCGCCATCAGCAGTCTTGCGCTTCTTACGCAACTCGCCCATCCGCTTCTGGTATTCCTCCTGGTGCGTCTTGTACTGGGATTTAATGCTCGTGAGCGCTCCGTGCAAGATGGTCTTGACCTGCTGCGACTGCTCGAGCTTGAACTTTTCAAATCCCTCGCGGTCCTCGGACGAGAAGGCTGGCCCCGAGACGCCAAGCTCTTCACCAAAGTCGAGCTTGATCTCATCAGCGGAGTCCTTGAAGAGGGCATCGAGGGAAATGACGTTCTTGCTGGAAATGGGCTCAGCAGGCTTAAGAACTCCGACGGCAAGCTTACGAGTGGCTTGCTCAAGTATGTCAGCGTTCTCCAGGTCCATTGCCATGAGCTCATCAAGGTGCTTGTCAAGGTCGCTGACCTCCTTGTCCAGCGCCGCGCGGCGCGCCAGGGCCTTGTCAAGCTTCTCCTTGGAAGCCTTCTTGGCCTGCGAGGCACGCTGCCACTCGGCCTGAGGCGTCGCCTGGGGCTGGGGCGGCGGCTTGGGCACGAACTGAGCGAGCAGCTTCTGGGCCAGGTCGGGCGCGAGGTGCGACGCAGCCTCCTTGACAGCCGCGAGAGCTTGAGGAGGAATGGCCTCAGAAGGGCCCTGCTGCAACTGCTGCGCCTGGGTACCCTTGCGCCAGCGACCCTTGGACTTGCCGCCTCCATCGCCCCATCCTGACTCCTCAGCACCGGTGTACAGAAGCATCTGGCCGCCGACGCCGACAGAGGAGCTGGGAGGGTGGCGCTGGGACTGGCACCCCACGCAGAAATTGTGCCGCTTGGCCAGGAGATCATTCCAAGTCCAATGGCCACAAGAGCACACAGTGTACAGCCGAGCACCACGATTCTGCCCAGCCTTGGCGCCCCCAGGCGGAACTCGGATCCAGGGCTGCCTCGTCCAAGTTTCTTCCGCATCATCAGGGATACGCCACGGGGCAGGGGCCATCGCGGCGTCGTAGCAACTAGCTCCGTCAGGAGCACACGAAAGATGGGCTGCCAGAGGCCCGTGCAGTACTGGCAAAAGCTGTCAGGCACAAGGCCTTGGCACTGCTGCGGATTAGCAGCTTCCAGTTCGGCACGAGGGCGCAGAGCCCTCAGGTGCAGCATTCTTGAGCCAAAATGGCTACGGATTTTTTTGTCGGAGGAGGAGAAGAAGGAGGAGAAGTAGGAGGAGGAGGAGGAGAAGGAGGAGGAGAAGGAAGAGGAGGAGGAGGAGGAGGAGGAGGAGGAGGAGGAGGAGGAGCAGGAGCAGAAGCAGGAGGAGTAGGAAGAGTAGGAGGAGGAGGAGAAGGAGGAGGAGAAGGAGGAGGAGAAGGAGGAGGAGGAGGAGAAGGAGGAGAAGGAGAAGAAGGAGAA